GCTCTAAAGATTCATCTAAAAAGTATGATCCAGTACCCATGTTGGCAAGACATGGTTTATGGGGGTGTGAGTTGTCTCAACTCTCCCTCATATCGGTGCTCAATACTACTCCCAATAATCATTACCTTTGCTCATGTATAAAAATATTACTCTTCCTTTGGTTTAAGATAATTGCTCAACTATCCTCTTAAAAGAGGCAACTGCTCTAAATTAACTGTGAACTCATGTTTAGAAATCAAAGTTTTCTCTTTTTCTCACTGTAAAAATGATAAATTTGGGAGTCAATAATTCCCTTAAGCTTTACTCAAAATGCCTCTTTAAACTTTCCTCAAAACTCCTTTTTACTTTATGAGAAAATTCAAATTTAAGATAATTATTCGATTAAAAAGATTCTCATCAAGAACTTAGTGAATACTTCAAATAATAGGGTTCATGCTGAAAAATAAGCATGAATAATCAACTTCAGGAATCTCAATACATAATATATAGCAACTCGGAAATTAGGAATAACAACTCGAAATTCAACAACGAACTCATCTCAAGAATCATCAAAACTAAGGATCTAACCCTATATTATTCTTTAGCGATAGAAAGTAGATGTAGGGCGCGAGGACGAACTCAGTCCATCACTATGATAGCCTTACATACCTGGGAAAAATAGAGTTCTTGGTGAAATCGATGAAATTCAAAGAATGATAGAACCTCTTGAATCCTTTCTCTAAGTCTTTGAATTGTTAAAGAATGTAAAATAATATTGTAACACTATTTAGACCTTAATTAGGTGAAAAACAATTGTGGGTTAGGCTTAGAGAGGGTGGGAAAAGACTGAACTACCCCTCTTGAAAAGCTATCAAAAAACTGTCCATGGGACCATCTATGGGTCATGGTTTGACCCACAGATCATAGATCCCATCCGTGGACTCTATATTGAGTTTTTAAGGCTTAAAAGTCCATTTATTGGTCCAAACGACAATCAGTAGGTCCACCTATGGTCCGTCGGTTGGATCTGTAGGATTTGGGTCCCAAAAGTTGATCCCTAGTACTCTAACGACGGCCTGACAGGACGGGTCTTCGTTCAACCCACAGCCCGTCGGTTGGGTTCGTCGTTCACAGACTCAGAAAACTCTAGTTTGACCGTCTTTGGCAAAATAGTCATAGCTTTTTACTCTGAACATCGAATGAGGCAAACTTGGTGCCGTTGGAAAGAGGATTCAAACAACTTTAATTTGGTAGTTCATAGGCCACCTAATTCATTATGTGCCAGGAGATATGATCATTTGAAGTTGACCTAAGTAGAATCTTATGTCAAAACTTAATCGAAAATGAAGATTTCAACTAAACTTTGTGCTAGGGGTTCTTGTGACCTTAAATCATATCCAAATCCATTCCAACACCAAAGAAATGACATTTACACATTTGAGTAACTTAAGGATCAGCCGAATCAATTCTATAGGCAATTAAAGAATGGTTCGGGTCTTAGCTTAGAAATTTTCGGGGTATTACATAAATGTTGTTAGAGGTGGTAAAACTAGACCATGAAAACATAACCCACCTAAGTTTGGGCTAGTTATTGACCCATTCATTTATTAGCTCAACTCATTAATCTCATAGAAGATTGGAGAATTTACATAAATATCACTTGTTAAGAAGATTATTACTTAGATACACTCTAGTTTGCAATATTACGTGTCTTACCAGATTTTGATGTGTCTAGATACGTTTAGATACATCCAGATACATGTATCTCGGGTTATAAGAGGTCAAAATTAGGTGTAACTTGTTCTAGATGCATTGTATCCAAGTGGATTCACATGTATATGAGATACATAACTAATCTCGCTCACCTTCCTCGCCTCTCTCCCATCTCGCTCGCCACTCTCCTATGTATTTGGTATCCTAGATACGTGCGAATTATACTTGTTTCTCTTCCTATTTTAGTGTATCTGGTAGCAAAAATACATGTATTTAAGTGCATATTTCTCAATATATGGTAGGGAACTCTTAATTAGTGGTAAGAGATGTAATATCTTGAAAGTATAGGTAATAATAGTATATATCGTAATGAAGTATGTCTAATTATGTAGTTTTTCCTAAATGAATTAGGTTGATATATGTAGCCCAAATTGATTCATAAGAAATCTGGTCAAAATATTTTAAAGAAGACAGACCTTTTTATTGTATATGTTACATATCGTCATAATTAAAAAGAAAAATAGTCATATTGGATACTAAAAATTTCTAAAGAACAAATAAAATAATTAAAAGTTAGTACGAATTGGGTGGAGGTGGGTTGATTAATGGTTATAACCCATTTTTAGTCTATTTTAGCTTAAGGTTTTATTTGTTTGCACTTAATTGTGATCTGAATCTTAATCAGTCAGATTTATCTTATTAAATATGTTTGTTTTAAAGGTCTGAATCTTAATTTTTCAGATTCAGCTCATTAAGTTTGTTTGTTTTATTTCCTTATAATCCTCTTAATGGGTCTAAATAAATTTGAATGAATCACTTCTATAACATAATCTTAAACACTATTGAGACTCATTTAAAATAAGACTCTTATCTTAATTCAACTACAACACAATAAGTCATAAAAGTCGCATTTGTTGTTTTCTTATTTAATCAATGTTAATTACATGCTTACAACTTGAATTTCCTTTATCCTCATTATTATTAACTTAAACAGAAAGCCTTTTACTTTCATAAATTAATCAATACAGTATTTGAATTGATAATCCCCAGGGTATAATATTTAGCACAATCCTAGAAAATAAGAAAGTACTATTTTATCGATAACAATAACAAATATCTATTATAAAATAGAATTAATGTTTTCATAAATAATGTATTACTACACTATATAAACTATTTTACATTGCATCATATTTGATTCTCAAAGCTTTTGAGTGTAAAGAATAGTCATATTAATGATGTAGCTTATGTTAAATTCTTAAAAGATGGTTCTTACTACCTTGTTGCAAGAAAAATATTTAAAATATTATTTTCTATATTAAAAAAAACTATTTAACTAAAATGAGATTTTTATAATATTTTTTTAATATAACATTTAATTTCATATGCACATTCTAATATTGAAAATAAACAATGTTAATTAGTTTTCAGATCTAGAGAAAATATCTTAATATTTAGATCTTAACGTGCATATATATTAATATTCAGATGTGTATTAGGATTTAAATGTGTTTATATTAATGAAAACAAAAATGACTTCTGAACTGATAAAAAAAAGACTTTTGAAGGGATGAATAAGATATTGAATAATTATTAAGTTAGTGTATTTTAATTAAACTAAATCCACACGTCTATGTTGCTAACAGGTAACAAGTAACGTAAATTGATGGAGGAGTTTGAGTTGAGATTATTAAGTTGTAACGGTGTTAACTACGTAGTGGCGATGATAAAGTGTCGAATCTTGTATAAATAAAATGCAGGCGGTGTGAGTGGCAGAGGTGCCGAATTGAGATAAAGTGGTAAAACGTTATCCAAATAAAAGATAAAAATGTATCATCTTGGGAATATCAACTTAGCAAAAGGAGGTGGGTAAATCTGCAGGATCGTGTTGGCTCTTGCTTCAACCTACCTACTTTATTCTAAATAGTATAATATAGTAAGGTGGATAGTTTATTTCATCCCGCCTCCTTTCATGTTGCATTCACTCACTCGACGCCTCAATTCTGTTCTGCCCACTACTCTCTTTTCGACATCTTATTGGCTTTTACAAACATAGAAACAAAGTGTATATAGCAATTGTATGTATGTGAGACTGTCCTACAAACACATTCATCATCCATTAACAAAATGCATGCTATTCCCCGTTTTAAGCCTCCTACTAAAAACAAGCCTTTTTCTTTTTATTTATTCATTTTAACAAATCTAAGAGAAATGTATTAAACATAATCAATAATGTTAATTTGAAGGAGAGCCTTAGAGCAACAATAACATTATTTCTGTATCACTTATAGGTCACATGTTCAAACTGTGAAAATAACTACTAATGTTTGTATTACGATAGCATTTCTACATCACATTACTCGAGGTACATACAATACGATCCTTCCCCAAACTTTGATAACCCCGATTATTTTGTGCACCAGTTGCACATATCAATAAATCCTTAATAAATATTACTTTCTTAAGGGAGTATATGGATTTAAATTCATGCCAACTCTATCTGGAAGTGGAACTAATATATATATTACTTTACTACTGATGACTTTGAATTACTCAGTTTCGCCAATTTCCTTATAAGATCTATCCATTTTTTTAAAATTTATTGTTCAACATCTTTATGAATGCATACGAAAAATTAAACAAATCAATGCATTATGATGATTGATGACGTATTGGCATTTTTATTTTTCTATCAAAATTTCGCAGCTTTATAGTCCATTGTATATCAAACTCATTTACATCGAAAACTTTGAACTTTTACTTCGATATTCTAAGATATAAATCTGTAAATTTTAGTGTAATCATGTAGTTCCAACTACCGTATAATTTTAGGCAAAACTACATATAATGTTAAGTAAACTCATGACAACAATTTTATTTTATATTTAGATCCGCAAGCTCCGCATCAATTTAGAATTTTATTTTATTTTTATTATTTAAATCCGCCCGACACTTGCATAGCAGAAAAACCCACACCGCCCCATAAAGTATATAAGAAAGAATTTTATTATTTTTTTAAAAAAAGATAATATACATACACCTAAATAGCAACATATAAAAATTCGAATAATGATTTTGGCATGGATCCTCCGCTCATGATTGAGCTTGAATATTTTGCCATGTTAATTGCCAAAAAATGGCAGTTCTCACCCATCTTTTTCACCTTATTCTGGGAGGGAAGCATTTAGTGAGACAACAGAGAAACTGCAGGGCTCTTGGTTTTCACCTTTCAGTTTCACTACCAACAATAAGTCTACTAAACACAGTAAAATAGCCATCCATCAGGACTGAAGAATAACCAGGGCATGTAACCGAAACTCAGTACGTGCAGAAGAATATATAACCAAAAAAAAATCAAGAATGGCCATAACATTATTAGAATGTAACACTCTCTATACTGCTGATACAAGCGAGTGTTGTATGACAAATAAACAAAAATTACAGGCTTATGCATACCATAAAGATACATTCACATTACTGCAATCAAAGCAACTCAGAATATGAATTTATCTTGCACAAGCTTTAATCTGTAGGGGCCTCAAACCTTGTGGGAGTATCAATTCCCATCATGCAGCAAAGGCCAGATATCAAAATTATAAGCAAGACAATTGCCTGGAACAGTACGTAAAGAACATATATAATCAGTAAACACAAAAGGCAGCAGCAAGGGAAAAAAGGGACATAATCTGATTTTACCACAACCAGAAGAAAACACTAGAAGCAGCTTTGAACTGTGGACAGATGCAAACAACTTACCACAAATATGCCCTCCAAAAATGAGGATTTAATTCGGCAAACTCCATCACAGCCATCGACTGATTTATTTCCAGTACCTTCAGCAAGAAACCTTTCTACTTCCCTATGAGAGGGGAACTGAATTGACCTAAAAGGATCTGACACATAGAGTGCAGTGTATTTGGCTCCCAGATTCTCCACATAACTGAGTAGTTGAGATAAAACTTGTCCTACAAGTTTATCAAGTTTAAGAACTATATATGACCAAAATAGGTATAAACCACATTCTCCATTGATATCATACCTTCAGAGGTTTGTTCTTCAGCTCCTCGCAGAGTACGGTGACCTTGATCGCAGAGAACAATCAAATTTGGCTGCCCCTTGGATTGCTTAGTGATCCTTGATAGCAGATAGTTCTGTAACACAAGATGGATGAAAAGAATTAATACGTCCAGTATACACGGAAACAGGATCCATATATACACATACAAGCAAGTAGTAGCTGTGGTGAACATAACCACTGCAGTAAAATCTGAAAATTGTCACTTCTTTTACTTTTTCGGGTGCCTTATTTTTTAATAGAATAGAGATTGCTCCATTATTAACCTGAACTGAGTGGATATCAGTGAGTTTCTCAAAATTTCCACCCTCTACAGAGCACGATTGCGAGAAAGCAATGTTGCTGGCCTCAAGACCATGCCCACACGTGTTTGTAAATTCTGAAATCAAGGAGCTTTCCACTGATTCTCTCTCCTCTGATGCATCAATGTAGGGGAATGCCAAAGAAAAATTGGACTTTGCAACAGAGGCCTGAGCAAGACATTTTTTACCACAGCTAAGATAATAAAAATGAACTTTTGCAGTACATCAAGAACCAAGCACAAAAAATTTGAATCAGGGAAGTGATTTCCGAAGTTGGGAAAACTCTAATTACCTTCAGCAAGTCCACAAGCCCCGAATTGGCATTTTTGGGTCTAGAAATATCCACAGATTGCAACTAAACAAGATATAGACATTAGCAGCTGAGGCAAGGTAGAAACTATCAAAAAGTATAATAAAAACTTGCAAACCCTGTGTTAACAAGGTCCCACTTTACGAGCTTAAAGTGGAATTTTCACCTACCCAACTCTCCTTCAATGGGTAAGAGTTGTTTGTATCAACTCAACTATCGGGGTGAGTTTAACACAGACAACAACCACAAAGGGTTTTACTTAGAGGTGTCCAATTGGCGGGTTGGGCTAAATTTAGGCGGGTCAAAAATTGGACTGAATTAATAAATGTGCAGGTCAAAAGCTACTTGGACTGAAACAGGTTAGGCTAAAACGTACTAAAATGTGGGTCATAACCCAACCCTCCCAATCCTTGCTAAAGTTTAATTGCTTTATTTGTTCTTTCATAAATTTTTAGTACCAAATAAAATTTTCTTCTTCTTTATTATAGCTATAAATAACATATCAAATAAAAGAAAATGTCTTCTAAAAATATTTTGACATGATAACTCATGAGTCAATTCAACCCACTCTTGTAATGGGTTGACATAGATTGAGCTAAACGGACGGGTTATTGACCCACCCAAACTTGACTGGGTTTGCGGATTGGGTTTGATTTTGCCACCCCTAGTTTTACTCATTATTCAGGATACAAATGGATTTCAAACACACTTTGGTTTGTTTACTGGGTAAATAAGAATGGGTTCCAAGTTCTACCACCTTTTCAGCGGCATGAAATCTGTGTGGAGCAACTTAAATTTTGTAGGAAGGTGTATCACAATCTCGTCATTGTCTTGCTCCGAAGCATATAAAATTATGATTCAATTGGCTTAAATAAAGTGTGTTTGGATAATTTAATTCCAGGAAAGTACAACAAAATATTGTTACTCTTCCCCTAAAACTAAGAGATGCCTACCTCTTTCCCAACAAAAACAAGTGCAAGATCCAGATGCTGTCCACCTTCTTTTCCTGAGCACTAATGAAGATAAAAGACTATTTAATTTCCGTCAAAACTTGAATCAAGAGAAAGTAGGCAGGCAAGAAATAATAGAAAATAGAGACAGGACGTACCAGCAAGTCCGACCAGCCACCCTCAGCCATAACAGACTTGACTAAATCCTTTAGTGAAAGGGTTCTGTAATTGACAGCTTCACTTGAGGCAACTCTGTAACACAAGTAATCAAAAGTTTCAGATAATACAAATTTACGCATAGATCTCTGGGTGACAATCACCATAAATGTGTTGCAGTTGCAGTTCAGGTAAGTTGCAATTTGGTGCAAATTACCTTTAAAAAACAAATGTATCATCCCACATAAATATGGAATACAAAAGAAGGGGCATACATAGGATATCAACCTGTTGTCACCAACAACTCATTAACTAGGCTGTAGGGCTCACCAGTACATCACAGATTAATATTTTAAGGACCTAAATGATGTTTCTAGATGCTTCACATAGCTATGCACCTTTGCTTCAACTATAACCCAGCTAGGAACTCTGCTGACTTTCCGAGACTTCATGCCATTGTATTGAAAGCATGTTAATTATAGCGAGCAGCTTTTGTAAGTCCTAAACCTAGCTATTCTCTGTAGGTCTCTTTAGTGTACTACTTGTATACCGAGATTTTCCTTATAAAATTAATACGTCATCAAATAAAGTTTCTAAAGATGGCTATCACATACACAACCTAGCCAAAGTAAAAATTCATTTTGGTTAAAAAATTAAAGTTAGTGCTTTCTATTCAAGTAGACAAGGAAATAGAAACTTACACAAATTCTTAGTGTTGAAACTCACAATTAATGGCTTCTAGGTCTTGTAAAATGGAAAAATAAAAGGGTTTGTAAAATCTTTTAGAATGAGGCGAAGGAAGGAACTACAGGGAACAATAATAGAAATGGAAGGAGCTACTGAAAACTTATGAATTTTGAGGCTATAACATAAGAAATTTAACGGGAGTAATTGAGGCATTAGAAGATCGATTGTAGCCAGAAACTCTGATTGTCATTAGGATTTGATCTAAGATGCACGGTTTATATTTTGGAGATTTTTTTCCATATTAAAAGCTGCTTTTCTTTTGAAAAATAATAGAAAAGCTTATTAAAAGCTTTAACATTCTAGAGGTATGTGATTTTGACACTTCACAGCCCCCTTCAGTCTTCCTCAAAAAAATAAGAAGAGTATATTCAAGAGTTACAAGAAAGAATACACTCTGGAAATTGCTTTACATCAGGTGTTTCCAAAACAAAAGATCTTGTGAAAGAATAAGGCATAAATTGCTTTTGATAACTAGAAGCTCAGGCCACAAAGCAAAGATGGGATGTCATTTAGATTTGGTTGACCTTCCTAGATGAAGACTACCTATGAAGAAATTGATCTCACTAATGGAATCGAACGTTGCTAAGGTTGAAATTCAAGTGATGTGAATCTTCAGATGTGCAAGAACAAAACAATCAGGCCATTTGGATTAGGATTACAATGGACTAAAGGAGTCAACTTGGTGATATGTTCCCAACAAGAAGGTAGATAAGTAATGGGCACGTGAAAAAATGAAAGATGGTAACGCCAGATTACAAGAGAAAAGGCTAAGTCTACTAATGGTGAAAATTAGTCGGGCATTTTGGTGAAAAGGGATAGTTCAACAACGGAGTCTTCATTATTTACCTAAAATTATCTCCACAATACATAGTTGAAAAGTAAAAGCATATAAGCAAGCAGAAAATCTCCATGAGAGATTGAGAGGTTCAAACAGAGTAGCTAAAGGCTGGAGCAGAGTGGGGTCACGAGCGTAGCTAGGATTTTCAAGGGTACACAATAAATTTGCAGATCTTACTTCTCCTTGTTCATGCTTAAACAAGTTAACAGTCGACCCATGACAACAACAACAACAAAGACTACTTCTAATTCTTTTTCCATTTCTCAATTATTTTTTGCTGGTTGACTTTCATTTGGGGGAAAAATATGGGAGACGCTTCTCGGAATGTTTAGCTTCAAGGAAATTAAAAAACTATCATCACCAGTATGAATAGTTAAAAGGACCAATAGGAAGGGATTCAGAGACACCATGAAGATAGTAAACATTAATGTAGTGATCATTTTTCATAAGATGGCAATGAAAGATACACTTGGATAGTATGGATCTAGGAGAGTCTAAAAGGATTTTGTTATTTACTTAAGAGCCTATTTGGATTGGCTTATTTTAGGTGCTTTTAAGCCAAAATAGCTTTTAAGCAGTTTTGTAGTGTTTGGGTAAAATAAAAGTGCTTAGAAGTACTTATTTTAAGCTAAAATAAGCCAAAGGCCAATACAAACGGGCACTTAGTTGGCATATAAGTTTTGCTTCCACATTTTTCTTTTTGTTTTGTGGGGAAGTAAGTAGTTGACACTGAAGTTGTTAGTTTGTTTTATCACTCAGCCAGCATGGAAACAATGAGTTCTAAAAAAGATTGTTTGTGACATCGATACATATCATAGTCATCCTACCTTTGGTGCAACTTTACAAATTTTAGAAAAAAATATTAATGCATAGTCTATGGGTTTTTTTCATAACTGAGCGTGCTTAGTTAGCATGACAGTTTAAGAATAATAAAACATAAAGTGACAGCACTCCCAACAACAAACAAACAAAATTCACGAAACACCAAGATATGTGTACACTAAAGAAATCATCTTTCACAGAACATTTTTCTAAGTTACTAGCAAAGACATTGAGATATAATTTGGTTAAATTGACATTCCTAAAGCTGCCAATGGAGAACTTACATTCAAGACAAAGTTAAAAGACCTAGACTTGAAAGTTTATGTATTGTTTGTGAGATATTTATATTATCTATTGTTATACCTGTGATAAAGTTAGAGAGGTATGTGATCGGAGTACTGTGGACAATGCTTGTACAGAGTTGGAAAATCACTGGGGTTGGAAGAAGATGCACAGGGTAAAAGAAGCACATAAGATATAGGAGATGATACCATCGGACACAGTTTCACAATTATGGAGAGAACAAGGAGAATTTTTTGGTGGAGAAGCAATCCAAAAGAAACATAATAAAATAAAATACTTGACAACTTCTTTTCTTGAAGCAAACAGGAAATATAAAGCAAGTGGATATTTTTGAAGTCTCTTTGAGCTTTGCAGCTTTAACGTAAACTTGTCCTAATGCACAAGCTTAAGTGCTTTTATAAAAATAAAGAAATGTCATACTAATAAAATTTTATATTTCTTTTAAATATATTTGAACTACCTATCCAGCATCACTTCGTAGAGAAGTGGTTAGAGGTATTAGAAATAAATAATGAGCTAAGGTATTGACCTAATTGCCTTGATGTAGCTAGTCTTCCCCTAAAGAAAGAGGCTTTCTATTTTTAATAGACATGATTATAAGGAAAGAGGCTGTCTATTTTTATTTTATTTTTGATGACAAGGGAAACCCGTAGCCGCTACCCTTTGGGTGCGCACAGGGTAAAACCCCTGCATGATTATCATGACTCCTGACCATATTTTGAAATGAAGTACCTACCTAGAACCTCCACCTCGTCTTCTAGTTCTTTTCCATTCTCTTTTTCTTTCTTTTTCCTGATACCTCTTATCTTTTTGTTCTACTCCTCAATAAGCTATTTTAGAGGTCCCTGAGTTCCCCTCTCTTCATATCTTCCCTCCCCTCCCTCAACTTATTCTTACTGCTGCTCCAAGCTCCATCTGACCTCCTCTCATTTCTCCATTCTAGACAGATTTGTCCTCTATTCTCTTCTCTTTTCTCTCAAAAGTGAAACAGCTTTTGCATTCAAATTCTGCATTAAGAACTGTCTATTTACATATATCACAAATCTCTAATAAAAGTGATGGAACATTCAATTAATTGAGATTACCCAAGATTGCAAAGATAACTGTGCCACCAACCCAACACACATCCCAATAAAAAAAAAGGAAATAAGCAAACAGTCTTCCTGTAGTTTGTTTCTTCTCAGTTGTTTTTCCCTTTTGCTTTATCATATGTTCTTCATTTCTGTTTGTTCAGTTGCCAGTCCTCAGTTACCAGCAGTTTTGACTATTTGATTTCCCTCTTGAGTTGGACCATTATCATTATCCTGATTTCAAGTTTGTTCACCCTCCTACTTCTTCCAGCAAAAAAATCATTTTCTCTACTCATGAGCCCAAAGCACACCTTTCTTTTTGCTCCCTCATCCCATCTTCTTTTTAACTATCCGCCAAAATTTCCAGCTCTGCACTTGAATTTTCTCTTGTTTCTATTCATCGTACGTCATTAGATGATTTCAAGTTACTCCTCTGGAAAATCCTTCAGGCATCAACAAAGCCACACAAGTATTTTCACCACAGGACGAAGAACAATGAACCAGGTAACATAATGAAATCTAGTTTACCACCCTCAAGAGGAAAGGCTCAGATGGAGAGAAGGCTGCAGAAACTATGCAGATGTGATAAGATCTTTTTTCTATTTGATCAGTTATGTGAATGCGGGATGTTAAAGATACCATAAAGTTACAAAGAACAGACAGACAGAATAGCTATCTCAAGAACAGATAAAGAAAATACAATCCCAGACTCCCAGTTAACATTACAAAGAATCAAAATATGAGATTCAAGCAAACAAAATGGAAGAACTTACAATATCCTGTTTCATTTTCAAATGAGATGTTAATGTAAGAAATATTTTTTTGGGCAGATTATGCATAATGAGTGTATACCAGAAGCAAACTTTCTCCATCTCCTTTTGCACCCTAATATTTGTTTTTCTTTGGGTGACCAATAATCAGACAGAGAAGCAGTCCTCCATAAAAGGGACAAACTGAACTTTTAATATGTACCAGCAACAAAATTGCCTCACATTTGAATAGTGAGAAAACTAGCAATAGTAGGTTGAAAGCATTCTAGATTACAGATAGTGTAAATAATAAGGAAAGAAAGGAGAGTCAAAACGATCTGGAACCTTAAAACAAAAACACTTGAGATACAAATCATTTTAAAACAAGACAGTTTCTCCAAGTAAACCATTCTTAGTAGAAGAAATGTTTTTATCCATCTAAATGAGAACTTCATTTTGAACAG